TGCAGCATATTTGGAAGTATAATTTATTTTCCTGCCTGGATCCAGCTTAGGATGGTGGAAAAGAGGGAATCACGGCATCTTCAGACTGAGAGAACAATAAGATGCCACTGCGTTTCTGCCAGCTCCTTCAGATGAGGGATTAGAGTGCTATTTAAAGAAAGAAAAAAAAGAGGTGACAGCCCATACACTTTCCTTCAGCACATCAACACACGTAAAGACATTTCAAAATGACACCCTAGCATTAATGTGGGCAGGAAAACTGTTCCGGAGGCTCTTAGTCCTTTGCAGAAAACACAGTAATCACAGCATATTCTCTAATCGCCGCCCTTTTGAAGGTTTAAATCATCTCACTTTAATGTTCTACAGTGGCATTAGCTTATTGCATGTGTGAGAGCTCATGCTGGGCTGCAGCAAAGACATAAATCACAGGTTTGATTCATTGATTGAGAGGAAGCATGCATCTGACGGCAAAATGACAGGCTGCTGCTGATTACATAAATGTACACATCCACTTTAAAAATATGAAATATGTACTCAGTGAAGTGCGGTGGGAGTCGTGGCTGTGCATGAAACAAAACTCACACCTGACACCACCGGTTTGGATTTCTTCCTAAGTGCAGGTATGATGATGCATTTTCCAGAGTTTCTGGTTTTCTAAACATCTCACTCGCTGCGTCAGAGGAAAGCCATAATAAGCGAAGAAGCCTGTGATACAGATGTAATCGTTGTCCTTTGGCTGAGTCTCTCGTGTCCATTTATAGAGGCTGAGTCTAAATGGGGTCATAGCTCTCATGTCTCCTATTATAACTAAAAGGATCAATCAAACTATACGAGGCATAGCATTTAGTGAAGTGCGTATGACACGTCCAGCAGCCGCCCCGCGGTGAGATGCTCGGAGGGTCCATCTTTCCGGCTGATCTCATCAGTCTGACATCAATCGTGACTGACGGATTTAAGAGCCTTTTCCACCTCATCGCTGCTCTCCCACACAAGACGGAGGGCAGCAGCATCGTGCCTCCATCCTCCTCCTGTTTCAGTATCAGCTCTCTCATCTCCCAGCTTCAATCTGATTCTGGTTTCCTGTTTGTCTTTCCGTACTTTTTATCTTATCTTCAAACACTTTCCCTTCTTTGTCTTCTCTCTCATTAATTATCCTTCTGATTCCTTTCAAGGTTAGTCTGACTCATAAGCTGTGATGATAGTGCACTAATGTCAAATATCCTCCACCTGTACTGAGACAGCAGTGACAGTTTCTCAATAACACCAGAAGAAGTGAAGGTTTGGAGTACCTCGACTCTCAAAAACTGAGTTGTCACACCAGTGCAAGCACAGGTGGAAATAAGAGGTGGACATAGTGTTGTCCTCCACACTGCATCAAATATAACTATATAATAAAAAGTAATATAATCATATGAAATCTTTAAATATGAATTTGAGACGATAAATCACCTTCATATGCCTCACAGTGTTCCAGAAACCAGTCTGTGATGCTGACGGTCCACTTGCTCGAACCCCAGTGCCCGCCAACACAAGTGGTGGGTCCACAGGGGGGGCTAAAGCACGTTATCTTTTTTGGACTGTGCCCAATCAGGCCCCATCTACACTGACCTGGTCACCAGACAC